TGAGATACCATCATAGCGTGTACCAGGGGTAGACCTTGTCTTTTGTGCTAAACACATTGTATAAATAGGAAAACCTATTCAAGCTCTAAGAGCACAGGAGATTATCGGCCTCCTCCTGTCCTCCAAACTGTTTAGGCTTACTGCAGTTTTGGGTAAACTGTTGTCTTAAGAAATGTCTGGGACCAGAAATAGCACCAATGGAGGATTTGTCATGGTGTGCATGTGTTTACCTGCTCTATGTTCCTTCAGAGACCATGCAGCCTTTCCTCTGACTTTCATGGCCTTTAGACCAAACCCCTTCTGAAGACAGAGGACCCAGTTTATCCAAAGTTGAGCTCCATGTTATTGTTTGCGCCCTGTCAAAATACTTGTAAACCACTGTGAGGTCAGACCAGCAGTTTTTTCCATCAGCTTGCAATTCAAGCAATTCAATTCCATACAAGCAGCAATGCCTAGGACAGTCCGGCTGCATAGATTTAAACTTATGGTTCATTATTTTTGGTTGTATTTGTGGTAGTACAAAAATAAATGATGGAATAGCATTGTATATTTATGGGACAGCCATTTTATCAACACTAGCCACTTCCAGATAAGACAACCAACAGAAAAATGTTGGTTCAAATCTGTTAAAAGTTTCAGTATTCATTATTTGGAAGGAGGAGGTGGATAAAAAGCCTTTTCAAAATATTTTAATAATACAGATAATGTTTGATCTGAACAAGAAATCAAAAAGTCTTCAAAGAGCTGGTTTCAGCTGATGCGTCTGTCTGGTCCTGGAACCATGCCAACATCCAGACTCCTGACAAAAGCTGATTGAGGTTTTTAATGAAGAAGAGGCTTTGAAACATCTTTCCACCTAGGGTGTGCCTGTGCGAGAAGGAGTTCAGTGCATCCAGGGGCCATCTCCTGACACCGCAGGAAGGACTGATGCTGGAGGTCTACACACAAGTACAGGATAGCTCAGGTGTCAATCATGAGGTTCACGTGTGGCATTAACTGGCAGCTCCAAAAACATCTCAGCTCTGGATTTTACCACGTTAATCCTAACGGGAAGAAAGCCAAATGAGCTTCCATGGACTCTGAATTTATGCTGTCTCCGTTGGTTCTGCCTCCAAGTATTTCTGTTATGTTTACTCATACTTAAATAGAAATTAAATTTTTAATTGTTTACATTTGGTGCTTGTACCAAATTTTGGAATAACCGAATGTCCTACTGTCAGGAAAAACAGAGATGATAGCATATGGAAAACTTTTTGCCTGTAATAAAGCAAAGCCAGATTTTGAAGAGTGTTTCACTGAAGGTAAGCTTCATTAATTCTCTTCCCATTAATTAAGAAGGGGCTGATCCCTTCAGAGAGTTGAATATGCACAAATTTCTTGGCATTTACTTATGTATCGTATTGTTTTTGTTAAATTATGAACAATGTCGTTTGAGAACTGCAGGTTTACCCTGAATTTTCCCTCCTTCTCACCCCAGGATGCGTTGCTTCTGTGAAATAAAATAGAGATGAAAAGTCAGCTGTGCTTAACCTTCTGCGTGTTCATTTATTAAGTATTGCAGACTCAGTGACTATTTTAACTAGGCTTCAAAATGAAGGCAGTGATACAAGCTCTGCAGCTCTTGGCAGTGCGTGTCGGTGGGATAATTACAAAATAAACATAGCAAAAATGTTTTTATGTTGGACTTGGCTTTCCCTCTGCAGACCGGATCTTTTGTTTCTCATTATATTACTATAAATCATTTGCTCCAGTAAAGCTGAATGATAAAATAGGAGCTGTGACATATTACCAGTAGGATTGGTAATCCTGCATGCTTAAATCCTATCTGGGTTTGTTTCATGTGTGTTGGTCTTCATAATAGTGCTTCCCTCTTATTTCCATCAGTGAGTGGTGTTATCTATTTTACATTTCTTTATTCCCCTCATGGGATGTGTCTGCATGACAATATTATATCATATATGCAAAGCTATGTAGGTTTGGCTTTGTTTAGTTTTTATGGTTTTATGGTTTAATGTTGTGGATTTTATATGTATTTATATGGCAGTTATAGAAGTAGAAGAATTAGGAGTTGGAAGAGGCCTCTGGAAATCATCTAGTCCAAAGTGTCTACTGAAAGTAGGCACAAAGCTGCTCAAACCTCAAAGCTTTGAAGTTAGATCAGGTTGTTCGATCAGGTTTGAAAATATCCAAAGGTGGCATTTTCACAGTGTCTCTGGGCAAACTGCACCATCGCTTAACCACTGTCATGGTGAAGAATTACTTCCTAATCTGCAGTTAAAATTTCCCACGTTTGAACTTGTAATCTTTCCCTCTTGTGTTTTGCTGTGTACCTCTGAGAAACTCTGGCTCTGTCTTCTCTGTAATCCCCCTTTATGTGGTGGAAGACTGCCATTGCTCCCACAGCCTCTCCTTGCACATCATATACTCTAGCTCCCTGACTATCTCAATGGCTCCAGCCCCTCTGAACTCTCTGCAGTTTGTCAGTAATCTCTCTCATACTGGAGAGCCCAAAACTGTATGCGGCACTCTGGATGTGGTTTGAAGAGCACTGAGTAGGAGGGAAGAATTATTTCCATCAACCTGATGGGAATTCCCTTGCTTATACCACCCAGCAGGCTGCTGGCCTTGCCACTGCAAGGTTGCACTGCTTACTCTTGTTCAACTTGCTCTTCACTGGGACCTCAAGATCCTTTTCTACTGATCTGCTCCCTAGCCAGTAGGTGCCCAACCTGTGCTGTCATACAGGGTTGGTCCACATGAGGTGCAGGCTTTGCATTTGACTTTGTTGAACTTTGTGAGGTTCTCTTTGGCACCTTCCTCCAGCTAGTGAAGGTCTCTGTGAATTGCAAGCCTGCTCTTTGGTATATCAGTCACTCCCCTCAGTTGGGGGTCATCTGCTAACTTGCTGGGGGTGCATTTCATCCCCTTATGCAAGACATAGACAAAAGCGTTGAACAGCACAAGCCCTGTTGTGGAACTCAGAAGAATGCCGCTTGCAGCTGGCTGCCAGTTAAACTTCAAACTGTTGTCCAGTACCCTTCAAGCCTGACAGTCCAGTTGTTAGTTGTTCACCCACGTTGTAGTCCACCCATCGAGTCCATGTTTCCTTGATTTGGCGGCAAAGATACTGTGGGAGACTATGCTGAAAATCTTGCTGAAGTTAAGCAAAATGACATTCGGTGTTCTTTCTCCATCCACCAAGGAAGTCATCTCATCAAAGGTGGCAATCAGGTTAGTCAGGCAAAATTTACTGTTGGTGAATACATGCTGGCTGCTCCAAATCACCTTCTTGTCCATC